TTTCAAATATGTATGTCGTTACTAAAGTGAAACAGAGAGACATGAGTAAGACTACTTTTATCATTCATATTCTTATTTTTATTGTGCCTGTTAAGAAAGGCAGGTAAATGATATTATGGTTTGTGGGAATAACAATTGGAGAAAATGTATTACGTAAACATATTTTCTATAAGCTAGGTGACCATCTTGAAGTCTCTTCGGTACCAGAAATTCATAAGCATTCCTTGTTAGTACATATTCTTTATGTGTATAGGGAAACATTTCATTGATCAGGAAGCTGAATTACCGATCTATAATGATTATTTGAATGAAAATTTCGTCGGTGAATTAAGTCCGATAAAATGGTAGAGATTAAATTATCTTTAAGCGATCTAGTTCGTGAGATGTTTGTTCACTGGTCCGTAAAAGATAGATATCTCGGAGTATCCTAACTAAGGAAGGTGATAGAACAGAAGCGCATCGTCTCTTAAACTCAAACTTCACACAAATTCACCAAACGCTATATATATATATATATATATATATATATATATATATATATATATATATATATAGTACGTATTCGCTTGTCATATTCTCCAACTCAGAAAGATGTGGAGCACTGGGTTATTGTTTGCAGCACTCAATTTTCAACCATTGTATTGCTGTTTCAATTGTACTACATGTACTTCTGTTTGGGCAATCGGATAATATTACTATCCCAGACAGGCACAGATCATCAAATGGGGCCTTGGAATTTTGGGAATATGGTTTAAGGAAACAGAATGGGAAGGTATGTAATAAGGACACTGAGATTCAAGATCAAAATGGAGAGAGAATGAATGCATCTTTACCAATTTTAAGCCATGTCACCCTAACCCGGCAGTCTGGATATACCTATATGGCTCAGACGAACAGCCAATGACTTCATAGATTGATGTTGCGCTTTGGTTTTGTCAGCCTTAGCTTTCTTCCAACCGACCTCTGTAATGACAAGCGTCGCTCATCGAGTTAGGTAGTGGTTAGATATACTCAACACATGTCCCAACCATCTAAATCGATGAGGATTTATAACCTCATCAACCCATTTGCCAACTTTCTTAATTACCCTGTGCCTTACCTCAAAATTGATCGCTCTGTCGTTTAGTGAAGCGTAACCAGTGCTCCGAAGGCACATGATAAAAAAACTTCAAACTTACACATATCTTCCACCACAATAGACCATGTTTCACCACCATGATATAGAATGTAGCGGATTGCTACACGGTATGTACACCCTATGGTTGGCAGGCGGACATCTTGTCTGCGCCAAAACTGATCCTAGTTTGCAAAGCCAAGCAAACTTTCTGAATCAGTGTCAAGACTTCGTCACTCACTAACCCACCAATGCTGATGAGATTTCCAAGGTAAGTGAAGTAGTCGACGAACCCAACTATTTTACTATCTATCATTAGTTCAGGCATTAGTGCAGACCAGTTCTGAAGCATTATTTTGGATTCAGAGGAAGAGAAACATCCCAAACATGCTGACATTGTCTCTCGAGGCGATCAAAAAACTGGATCTACTAATATAACCATATCATCTACATAATCCAAGTGTGCTGATAAACATTCTGGAAAGAGATAAACTCCTGAAAAGTTAGATGGAAGGTGTTATTTTTAGGAGGAGATTTCTGACGAAATTCGATAAAAAAAGGGGGACAGTGAGTAACCCTGACGATTAACATAAGGTTGACATTGCTGACGAAAGTTCTCGATAAGTTTCTGATTTGACCAATAACTTCTGAATAGCTTACGTACTTCTTTATTATGACTTTCTATGGCATATTGCTCCAAAATCTCATTCAGTAGAGTCGAACGCTGCTTCAGCAAGCCCTAGGAATACCACCGTGGTTGGACGTCAATAGGTTTGTTTAGGTTCTAAAACCTGACGAAGAGTGACTATTCGGTTTACATATCCACGTTTAAGTCTGAAACTAACCTGGTTCCTTTTCATGTGTCCTAATTAAGTGTTAAAGAACTACTGAGACTAATAATCTAGACACTATCTTAGTCAAAATGATTCCTTTGTGGTTATCATATATAAATTTTTGTCTTTTCCTATGGACTTGTCAACGTTCAAAACTAATTGGGTGGATTGCCTCCATTTCCTAAACTCTAGCTAATATCTCACTTAACTTAACCATTAAAACTAAACCACCATCCTTAGAAATCTCTTGGGTTTGCTGCTGTTCTTCGTTTTAAAATTACCTTAAGCCTTTTTAATGTAGGCAGAAACATAAGGCTCAAAGCGGTGTACATAAACCTATATTTGGTCAATAAAAAGCTCAAAGTTTAGATTGCCAAGTCTCATATGTCTTATGTGTTTAAGTCTACAGCATATCTGTGAAGCAAGATTTCACCGTAACTTGGAATAGAATTATTGAGAGAAACTTTTTCTCATATCATATCATAAAGTTTATGATACAAGAATCTTCATGTCATTGCGTTCAAGTTCTTCACTGTTGTCTGTTGTAACTCTCTAAGAACAAATAAGTAGGAGGAATGTATTGTAAACAGAAATAAGGAATCACAATTCGAATATACTGACTTGAAAGAGCTTCTGCGTCATATTCTCATATGGGGTCGTTTCATTAATGCAAATTTATGTCTTCTTTTGTTAAATATTAGCCTGAAAGGTCCTTTTTTAATCTTTGTCCTTTACAATGGAATTAGTCACTATTGGTTTCTTATTTTTTATCCTTTCGTTAAAATGTTTTTATGGGTTAATTTACGAGAAATTTCTTTTGCTGTTTTACTTCACTCCAGACGTTCTCGACGTAAATTTTTGTCGTTAGCTGAACTTCGTCGTTTTGGTCGTCATCCTTGGTTTGATTTTAATGTGGGTTTACATTCAAAAAATGGTCAACATCCTGTTTCTTCAAATTTAAAGAAGAAATCTCATGCAGTCACAACCAATTCGATTGCAGAAACTGATCTTCCAAATCCTGGTGTTGTCACTTCATCGTCAAGTGCACATTGAATTCAGAATATATCGTCCCATTACTTCATTTCCATAATAGGACAGTTTCAACATTTTTGTGTTTTTACTGTTACTTTTGCATGAGGTTATCATGTCAGACATTAATACTGATAGAATTGTGAAACTTATTCAAATCTTATTCCAATATCGTCTTCACCATTCATTAGATTCGCCGGGATTTAAGTTAAGTAATTTCATCATCTTTATCACTTCATTGTTTTTGGTGTATAGAACTGTTGTAATATCTCTTCTTTTATGCTTTCCTTGTTCTAAGTTTCTAAAAAATGTCTTCATCTTGATTCCATTTTCTGTATCTTCCTATTTGCTCATTAGGTTATTTGAATATACTTGTAATGTCTAATTTTTTCAGTTATTGAGGAGGGTGCATTTAACAAAATCCAAGTTACAGAAAAATATTACATTTAAGGTGTTTATTTTCTGTGAATTTTTCTTCTCTATTTTGTAATTAGTCTATAAAATAGCCTTTGTTTGGGTGACTCACTTGTCGTTTCCCTGGGTAGTGATTATTAAGTGCGAAAATTTAGCTCACAGCAATATTTAAACTGAGATCTTTCAAATTATAGTGGATTACCTTGGTTACATTTTGTCATTGTAGAGCATTAAATCTGATTTCTTTCCATAGTGTTATTGATTACCTTTTATATGTAGATAGTATCATTTGTCAAATGGTCTTAGTTGAATGGAATCACTCTGTGCATAGATTTACTGTTGTGCTATGTTACCTTATGTTATGCATCTTAACAGTCAGTGGTCCTTATTATCGATTGACATCCTGAATGTTACATGCAACAGATTGTCTTTGGGATTCAACTCTAAATTCTTACTTTATTTCTATTATTACGGTTGGTCAAGACGGATAAGATTCAATTGATGAGAGCAGGAAATAGATGGTTTTTGTTAGGCATTTATAAAAAGATAGTTCACTGTACAAAGAAATATGTATATGTTTATATGGTTGTATCCTGCTTAGAATAATCCTTTTTTATATTTAACCTACCTCAGTGTTGGTTGGCTGTTCATGTGTCACTATTTTCCTAATTAGTGCTAACTTATACAACTCGTGATCTCGACCCGCGAGTTATATACTTAAAGCTTGTCAGATTGGGCTTTTAGGCGACAGTTTCAGGCATTCAGACGTCAATAGACTGCTGAATTATGCAAAAACTACGAACTCACTCGAGCTAACACAACTCCAACCAAACTCGAGTACTTCAAATATAGAATGCTCGCCTTGGACAAAGCCACTCCAGTCGTGCGGGCAGATTTGACTTGGTCCTAGCTTTTCATTCATCCCGTTTCATAGTGTTCTACGTGTTAGACGAATCTAAATCATTAAGTTAATCCTGTGACTATTATTAGTATAATTTGGCATCCACCGTCTTCAATACGGTTCACTCCTGATTTCTCCGAAACTGTTCGGTTAAAACGATGAATTTTCATTCATTCTGTCAATGATAGAACGTAGTCACCTGCTTGTGTTGAATCATTACTATTAGGTTTCTAGAAACCTAATGAATTAAATGATTCGTCATATATTGGTTCACTGAACTTTTAAAATAATAACCCGATAATTATAGTATTGTTTTTTTCGAAACAGTTCTGAGTCTACTCATATTTCAGATGTATATCACATAAGTTTATGCTAGTATGATGTCGAAATCTAGAAGAATATGAAGTGAGAATTTTGTATTTCTAAGTGTTCGGGCTAAAAAAGTCCACGTGAAACATAATCATATTTCCAACTGCATGAGCTTTTATGTAATTCGATGAAATATCTGTGTAACTAGCAATATGATTTTACTAAACAATATAAATACATTTTAGTAATACGCTTCAGCATATATAAAGTGTACGGTTAGCTTTCCTTACTGACTAATTTTAAAATTTATATGTTTTAGTCCAATTACTGTAGAAAATTATTTTCTTCTTGAATTTCACTTTCACGATAAAGATCAGTGAATTTTGTAAAGAAAGAATGGATTTCATACACCTGTCTCCTTATATAACACTGGTTTAATGATACGGTGACTCAGCTTTAAACTCGTACTCTGAGAGTTCCAGGTCCATTCCATCTACTTCGTTTTGGCACCTGATGATATCATGATTCGACACACACAAAAACAAGGTCACAAATCTTTACTTGATAAATAAGATGCATTAAACTGTGAAAACGAATATAAAGTAACACAAGAATGCATGGTAAATCATAAGTACTTGAACGACGGTAAAGCTTTTGAGCATGATTGACATTGTAAGTTGAAGAGACTATAGGCATTGGAGTTCAATCTGGGCTCGTATTTCTTAAATACTGATTCCTTTCAGAATTATTATTGATTGGTTTCTGATAATATTTTGAAAAGTTTGCGTAAAAGATGATAACATTTACATGTTGTTAACCTTCTTTCAGTATTAATATCTGAATGTTGTAGTTGATATGAATTTCTTTCAAGGATTGATGTATGTCAATAAGTTCACATCCTTTTTAGAAATATTTTTGCAAACATATAAACCACTGTGGAGTGTGCTACGTTTCCGACATAAGTAGTATATAACGCTAGTCAGTAACAATGTCTGGCAGCAGAATTTGAGAAGATCATGAAGGAAAGAACGGTAAGAGAAAGTAATTGGTATGGAAACGAAATAGAAATGAAGTTTGAGACGATTGACTAATATTTGTAAAAGGAAAAGTCAAGTTTGTGACAATTGGTTGACATTTTGCAAATTAAGTATATACTGTATGGTTCTCAGATTTTACTAAGATGTTCTGTGATTTTGTGTTTAAATAAATTCGATTGTTCCCACTCGTGTTGTTGTTCACTACACTACTGTAAAGTGTTTGTGAATAGGTTCACATTCGATGATAAAGATACGCTAGTTTCTTCAACCCGTTTCTCGAAGTCATTTCATTAATAGTTTTACATTAGGGAAAGTAAATTAAGTAATTTTGTGCAAAACATTCAACCGCTTCAAAAGATTTTAAGGAGTGCAAGATTAAGCGCCGTTTAAGTATAAACTGGAAATTTAGTGAATGTATTGTCATACTTAGTAATAGTGAACTTTATTTGAAATTATAACTTGTGGTTCGACTAGAAAAACATTAATAGAATAATCAGAAACATTTGGTTTGATTTTTGTCTTCTGAATCTGTAACTGATATATAAATAAGATGACTTCTCAAAGGTTTGTACTAACTGTTTTCTAACTTTGAAAATAATACAAATAACCTTCCTGTTTTTTCTGGAAGTAAATAGTTGTATTAACTGATGTACCCACAAAGTACCATAAAAAGTGCTACAAATAATTCATATGCTAAGTGTTTTGAAATTAAAATGGTAATTCTATAAATGTCGATGTATTCCCCTGTTAGTTTACCTAGTGAAAAAAAGGCGAATATATTGAAACCCACTCATCCTATATATGATATATGAAAACCAGTTGTTATAGTTGAGGTGGTAGGTAAATTTGTAACTGAAGATGGATAACAACACGAATGTATGTTGAATAGAATTGTTTTGCAATATTACCTAATTCATGCTTAAAATTCTGTATTATGAATAAAGTTATTATCAATCTTTTCTCAAAAAGTCAATTTGTTGAAACTAATGAACCCAGATTACATGGATAGTGCTTCAAAGATTATTGATTTTATGAGGCATATTAATTTTTCAGTTGTACTCCCGATCCGTCAGATAGCCACTTATGATTTTCATATACCTAGAAAATATTTTTTTTCAATGTTTTTGTGGGGATCCGTTATTTTTATTGCAAAACGAAAGTCTGAGCGTAAAGTCTATTTTGAAATATATATATATATATACATAAGAGGTTGAAACTTTTCTCTGTTAATCCATCCACTAAGCATCAATAGAAAAACTTCAGTAAGAATATTTATCATAATTACAAGGAAACTCAGCAAAGAAAGGAGAAAGATACATATAGCAAGTGGAAAAATTTACACAAGTAGATTATAAAGAAAAATGATAAGTATTCTGCTCATGTTTTTTCAAAGAATATGCCTGAGAGTTGATTAGTGGAAGCCCAAGAATCTGTTTTTAATGCAATAACAGGTGTAGATGATGGTGAATGAGCAATGAAAACAGGTACGGAATGTGAAATATCATCGAGTTGAACTGTTTTATTATTTATAATAGGTGTCGTATTATTTGGTGTTAGAACAAGATTAGAATCTAAATAAAATGCAGTTAACGGAATTTGATTTTCTGGTTCTTTAATTACCGATACTGAAGATTCAGGACTTAATTTCTGTCTGTTTGTGGGGTTAAGTTGACTATTCATATTTAATAATCGTTTTGTAGGCCATGGAATAATCGGTGCTGGTTGAGGTGATATTAGAATAATATTCTCAATGATTCGAACATAGTCCATTGGTTCTTCCGTGTTACTTGATGCCTTTGAATGACTTTTCCACTTTTTTATATCAAACATAGAGACCGTAGGGTTGATGTATAATATTTTTAAGATTTTGCCACCTATGTCTACTATACCAATACAACTAATCATTACTATACCGACAATAACAGCAGTTATAAATAAATTATTTGCTTGTTCTTCACTATTCCAATCAAAATCTACAAATGTACTGATCGCTGAAGTCCAGATAATTCTTTTAATATTGTTCGGTCTTATTTTTTTATTCAGTGAAGTTATAATACCTGTAAATACAGAGTAAAAAAAATGTTGAATTGGTTTGATTTCTGCATAAAATTCTGCAAATATTTTGTGTTTATGGGGTTTTAGAAATTGTTAATTTTTTGATTGAGATCATCAATCGATTGATGTTAGACCGCTACTGAAAACTTGGAGGCATTGGACAGCCGTTTCGTACTAGTATGAGGCTCTTCAGCAGTGTGCATACACGATCCCGTACACGGGATCCGAATCCAGGACCTCAGGGTCTACCTAAGGTTGGAGTTAGATATTAACACCGTTGGTGGAGGTTTCGGTGGTCTAGAGGATAAGCGTTCGCGCGCGAGACTGAAGGTTATGGGTTTGAATCCCACTGCCGGGGAGTTCCTTGCTAAGACGAGACGGCCGACCAGTGATTTCAGATTTCCAACTGTGGTCAAACACCAATCGATTCATGATCTCAATGAGAAATATTTTGTGGTTGTATTTGATATTATAACGATAGATAATGCGTATAATACCTTCATGGACGTGACATTTACAATTTTTGGATTTATTTGTTGCATCCACTTCCATCGAACCACTGAAACATCATCAGTAGGCCCTAAATGATAAAGTTTATATTAGGCATATACCAAATATTTCGTATCCAATATTTTGATGATGTTCCCGTTTGACCTATCAGATCATATTACTGAAATGATACTAGTAGCTAAAATGTTTTTAAAAAGTTTAATCAGAAGGTTGTTATGCCCACAGGGTAAGTCATAAAAGTATTATTAACTAGACTAATGCATAACTATGTTACTCACAACATGCATTAAGTAATACCATCTTAAAAGATCATCTCTAGAAGTTGTACAAAATGTAACAATAAAATGAATAACTTTTATCTAACGGTCAGTAGGCAAAATGATACAACTTCTTCAATAGTTTCATTAATTTTAAATATAGTATAGATTTTAAGTATATAATCTGTGAAGATGATTTTGTTCCCACACAAAAAACTACACTTTTGTCAGTGCTTTGTATTGTTACTGATTAAAGCTACAAAATTGTTGCCTGTAGCTTGTTGCTTTAACCTGTAGCTTATGCAATACTGCCTCATTTCACAAAGTGTGTAATATTATTATTTCTCATTTTGAAAAGTACAGTGATAAAAGGATAGTCATAATCAGGAACTATGTGTTCCAATTCTTTTCCCAGTTTGCTTCATTAGTTTATAGTGAAAAAAATTGAGTTCATACAAATCTATTATTCAAAAGTTTTGTCCATACATGCCTTTTTCAATTGGTCACTTCTGTCATTCCTTTGTCTTATCTATGACCATCAATATTTTTCAAATTTATAGTCTATAAAATTTTTTTCGGTTTCAGCAAATAGGTTATTTTATTAGTCATGATATACACAATATGTTTTGAATGAAGGAGGGAAACGTGATTATTTTAGCGAGTTATAGTAACTTGGATTCATTAAATATCTGATATTGCATGGAATGTATAAGTATCAGCCAGTTTCTATGTTGTCACAGACAGATTTCTATTGATTTAAAGTTTGTTCAATAAAAGAATGTGAAAGTACTATGTGATACATTCAAAATTATGATAGATACATTATTTAAATCCCCTTTCTACATAGTGGATAATTTTTTATTGCGAACATTTGTAGTATCAATTTATAATAGAGAAATCTATCTATCCTCAACATACTTGAATGGTAAGTGTTAGAAAAGAACAATATGGAAATTGGTAATATTAAAAACAATGAAATGAAAACAACAATATTTCCCACAGACATCTTCACTAACCTTCTTTATTCAAAGAAATGTTTTCTTCGTTTATTGGAACTGATGTTACTGGTAAAAAATGGCAAATCTGTTGACGAAATAAAAATTCTGAATTAAAAATGGGTGAGGTTGGATAATTTGTTGGTTTGCTGTGAGATTTTTCTGATTTAATTATCGGAGATGATGATTCCACTTGAGACAGAAGTGATTGAACAACTGAATTTTCTGTGTCCATTTGTTGATCGAGGTAATTCTTCAATAAAAGTGTAAAGTAAAATTGAAACTTTAAGAATAATGACTGTTACTATCATATATCTTAACATACATATCGAATTCAATTTTATAACAAATAAAATGCATTCTTTAGAGTAATATTGCTACTAACATGAAGTAAATGTTGCCAGTGAAGAGGATGAATACGTGTCAATTCAAGTATAATTAAGAGATCGATGATTAGAAAAAAGGTAGTCTCAGTTAGTCATTTACAAAAGATATATAGGTTTATTAGTACAAGAAATATGAGATCCCCTATTTAGATTTGTATTTTATAATAGGAAGAATACGATTTGAAATAAATAAAGCAATAGACTAGTAAACACCGCATCTGGCTTTGAACCAGTGGGTCACGGATTCGAAATAGATCATACCTACTTCGGTTTGAGAAGTTGGTTAATGTAATTAGCTTTTACGCTAAAATAAAATTTCTCATAAGTGACTAGACAAACGTCTGCTCGATAAGTAAGTTACATTGTTCAAATTAATCGGTGCTGACTAAGCAAAATAGAGTAATTTTGATTACTGTAGCGGGATAAGTTTACACTATTGGAGATAATTTCCAAACTAACGGTTAACAGGAATATTTAAGCTCCAACTGGTTATTTCGAATTATTTATAAAATTTACCGATTAATTATTATGTTGCTTAAATTATTTTTGGATGTGAATGGATTAAAGATATATATATATATATATATATATATATGATGTGAACAACGAAACAAGAAGTCTTAACAAACTACGGAAGCTAGTTTGGGGGACGTTATTTCATTTAATTCTAAGCTTGTAAAACTGTAACATTTAATTTTGTTCCTAGTCTATTCTACAGACCATAAACTTTCGTTTGATGTATGATTTACTGCCATAGTATTTCCTGTTTTAAAGCTATTGTAATTTAGACGTTACTTTGTGTACTCTATTTTCTACTATAATCCCCCAGTTTTTGACAATTGTATTTTCCTAATTATTGACGTTGTGGTCAGGTTAGTCATCTATTTATTCATGTATCTTTTTACACTAATCGGAATTCGAATACCAGGTCGGGATTGGAATAAAGCGAGTAGTGTTCCAGTTGTTTTGTCTTTTCTCTCCCACTATAGAACGAAACGGCCGTCTGGTGCTTTCAGGTTTTCCATGGTGGTCTAGCTTCAATTGACTAATGATTTTAAAATATGTTTACTATAAATGAAGTTTGATCATGAATTGTCTTTAACTATGCTTATTAGCGTCACTTTAACGGATCTCATATATTTTGTAACTCACTTAACACTCTCATTCTTAATAGTTCATTTTATTTATCGATAACAATTTAAGAATGAGAAATTCGTGCTTTATTTAGTCTCATAGTAAACAATATAACTTGAAACATTTAATTCAAACTTTTGAAAGAATGTTAACTTATTGTTCCCTATTGAAATATGTAATGGATTTCATTTCGAAGATTTATTTGATTGCGTGTGAAATTAAGGAAGTGATTCATGGAATACTCATCCAAGATAAAATGATGTTTTTGTTCAGTGATAAAAAACTTTTCATAACCTTGACCATTGTATACGACTAAAATAATATTTAATTCTGATAATTCCTTTTAAAATTAAACTGTCACAGTCCTACACTGTTGTAAAACGTTATTACCAAGCTCGATTTATGGACTAAAACACGACTGAAAAGGATATATATATATATATATATATAACGTGAATTTGATTAAGTATAATGTATTTATGAGATTAGATTGATATCATGAATGGATCAATGTTAGATGACCATTGAAAACCTGGAAGCAATTGATGGCCCATTTATGATATTAATCTAAAATCAATAATGTCCACAACCTTATACTGATATTTATGAGTGTTATATCGTGTGATATGCGCGTCCTCTTTAATATATGAACGTGATAATTCCCGCCAATCGGAGAGCAGTGAATTATCGATCAGAGCAATGGTACACGAAAAACCGTATGATCAGTCTTGAGTACTTAACAGTCCTGCTTTCTACTTAGCCCAACCAGTTAGGTCCAGAACACCAATAACAGCCTCTGCAATATGAATTATTATCCTCAAACATACTGGGTTTATATATCAATCAAACCGACCACATCATACCATAAAATAAAATTTGTACAAGATTTGGCCAAATGTGGCTGTGTATAGGGGGAATAGTAATTAATGGACTAGGGATAACCGAAGAATGATAGATCGTATAATAATAGTCTATAGGTTAAAATAAAGCTTATAATAAGAAAGGAATAGTTTAGTTACTTAACAATTATACAATAAGAAATATACATATCACATTGGTTCATAAATAGTTCTCAGAGGTTACCATTCATAATTCTCTTCTGGATATAACAATGACATTATTGATAATGATGTGGTGTCATATTGTTCACAAAATTTGTTTTCATTTTATATTTACAATAATTTCAAGTTAATATGTTTTATTTACATCAATAATAAAGCAATACATATTAGAAATAATAGTACTTCATTTATTTATGTGAAAAAATACTCGGAAAAGAAACGTACAGTCAACATTCCACTTGTACACTGAAAACTCTCTAATCAAAGTACATGTGACTACAAGTACATTAAGGAAGTATTGGAATGTTTAAGAGACAGGTAAAAAGTAAATTAATAATTTTGTATAATTAAAAACATATCTATAGTTATATTTAAATTATTATGTGTTCAATTAGTTAGTTATTCAACTATAATCTAATTTTATAATAATGTTTAAATAATTTTAGAAAAAGATGGATAGTGGCTAGCAGTAGAATCCAGGAAGCGCGTTTCGTCCTATTTGGGACTCGTTAGCTGGATGTACCTGCATCTCAGAGTTAATGTTCACTCCTGGATTCCACTGCTAGCCACTATCCATCTTTGATTATAGTGCTTGTGAATGAAGACTATATCGAGGCAATACACACAGTATGCACATATGGCCAATAAGAGACTGACCAGTCGCAGTCCTAAACATCAATGGGAAGATTCAAAAACAAACAATACTAAGTGAATTTAATTCTAGAAACAGACTAGAATATTCCATGATGTATTCATGAAAAGTATTTTGAAACCTGTTGTATGATATATTTTTAAGCTTATTTTACTTATGTTATTTGTCATAACAAAATCTATATCAACTGTAACTGTTATATGAATATTTCCATTTCTTGCTTTGCATACTGCTACTACTATTACCAATACTATGTCTACCACTATTACCAATACTACTACTACTACTTCACTTCTACTTCTTTTACTGTTTATTACAAAAAATTAATAGTGATAATATTTAATAATAATGACGGTAATATGACTATTTCTATGACTATAGTTGTTGATTTATTGTTTTTTATTATAAAATGAATTGAAACATCTATTGAATTTCACAGATTCCACTAACATAGTTTTATGCTTAGTTTATACTGGAAACATATATATATTCCTATATGTATGTTTTACTGTTATTCAAATATTTGACTGAACAAAAAGCAGAATATATTTCTCATATGAAAATTCAAATTGTCATATCGCTGACTTCCTAGAAAAAAGTATCCAGCGTCTAGTATATACGTATGCAATTACATCGTCTTTTCAAATGTTTTAGACAGTAGAGTTTTTTGTTTTGTTTAAAAAAAAACAAAAGTATGATGTTATTTAACACATTTAAAAACTTTAAACTAATCTATAATTTGTCATATTTTACTTTTTTTTAATTTCATTATTCTAGAGAGGAATTTGTAGTGTAACTAACATATTAGATCAACACATAGGTTATTGAATTCAAGTTGTCTATCATAAATTGAAATGATTTATAATATTAGAATGACACTGATTGCTCACTTAGTAGACATCTGTATCAGTCTAGCCGTGGTGCTGATCAGGTTCTCTTGACTGGTCTATGACCAATAAGTTAAATAATTGAATGAAACGATTCATTTAGCTTAATACTAGAGAGTTGGTGTCAATAAACAGCATAGTTTGAAAGGTTTTCATAATTTCCACTCACTATCAGTTTTAGAGGATGTTTCAGTGAGATTCTTTCAGTGTTACAGTAAGAGATTTTATCATTAAGCCACGGCTGGTTTATAATTTACGTAGCCTCATTTAAATTTTAAATTACAAGTTAGGTTGCAGTCAGCAGTGACATAATATGACATAACTTTCTTTGTCATTATACGGCATATGCTAAAATAATCCCAAGTACGCATGCGTATATTATCTACCGCTTCAAATAAGTGTGCCAAGAAGTGTATTTATAAAAAGAAAATACAACGAGCATCTGTGAAATAAACTGAGTCATAATGACATACAGCTTATTATAAGAATACTATAGAAACACTGGTCTCTGTTATTGTGAACAACTCGAGGCCCACTGATATGATAAGACAAGAAGATGACATTTTTTAGATCAAAAATATTTGTGTCACTTCATGACAAATTTCAGCTAGGATGACAAATGTAAACTTTTATTCAATGTAACAATGATATTTGCCTATATCAAGTTAGTGTGATAATAATTTACTCAATTTAAGACCGAATTCATCTTCAGTGTGATTTTTATTCACTATAATCTTCTTTGTATTAAATTATTATGAGCTGTGTTCAGCATGTGGAGTGTACCACTGATTTTGACAGATATAAGTAGTATGTATCGTCAATCAGAAATCAAATGTCCAGCGGCAAAAGGTTAAGAAGATTAAAGAAAAGGGAAAGAGAACAAAGAACGATTGGTATGGAAACAAAATAACAATGAAGTTTGGGACGATTGACTGATATTTGTAAAAGGAACAGTCAAGTTTGTGACAATTGGTTGACATTTTGCAAATTAAGTATATACTGTATGGTTCTCAGATTTTACTAAGATGTTCTGTGATTTTGTGTTTAAATACATTCGATTGTTCTCACTTGTGTTCTTGTTCACTACAAGCATGATATTCAGTATGGGATTTCATTATAAATTATGCGTATGT